CGCTGCATTTATTATTTTTACGTTATTTAATGCATCAGACCATTTTTACTGAAAACGGGGTGTTCCTGCTTAGTGACAACGCATCTGCATTTTGATTCTTAATCGTGGATAGATGTAGATGTCTATATATATTCACTTACCATCAGATGGACTATGTCCTCGTTTGTCATCCTTATCTTAACTTAGTAGTTATCACAAAAAATACGTTCTTTACGTAACAGATGTGTCGACATTAAACCACATTCAAACAATAATATTCTATACGTAAGCTAAAATACGATAATGAATAACGCGATACGAATTGACAAGACGTTTTCGATTATAAGCGAAAGCCTGTGTTTAATCAATTAGCAGCTAGATTAGCAATTTGTATCAGTATTATGACGATCACGTTGCCTAGTGGTCCGAGCATCTGCACCTAGGCTAAATAGCATACATATCCTGGGCTTAAATTCTAGCTAGAGCATAGAATGTGCGTGTAAAACACTAGAAATATTCGTACAGGAAATAACCATTTCGGGGTCTGGTTATGTTCTGATTATGACTAAACACTGCACCCTAGCTTACATCAGATCTTATCGCGTAAAGGTCGTCGATCATTTATCAACGCGGCACCATACCCGCTCCACCTTGACTCGAATGTTGGAGATTTCTTATATAGACTTTCTGTACATATAATGGCGTTAAACAATGTTGGAGATTTCTTATATAGACTTTCTGTACATATAATGGCGTTAAACAATGTTGGAGATTTATTATATAGACTTTCTGTACATATAATGGCGTTAAACAATGTTGGAGATTTCTTATATAGACTTTCTGTACATATAATGGCGTTAAACAATGTTGGAGATTTCTTATATAGACTTTCTGTACATATAATGGCGTTAAACAATGTATTAGCAACATTTGAAATCACTATTGCTAGTTGTATGTTCTTTTTTAAGAAAAATATATTAATATGAGGCCTTTTAGGCAGAGTCAGAATAGAATTTTAGAGCAAATCGTATATGAAAGACGGTCGGAGGCGCCGAAGTGATTCCTTATACAACATGTATCGCTCACAGAGACAATAATTAGTAAAATACAATCTACCGATTATGGCATGACCATAGAACCGTACGTACACGTCCTAATCACACCGCGTACTAAATAAGGTATAGTAGCTACTCGAATCTGTGCTATTTAGCCAATCGAGGTCCCGTATCGATCGAACACGCTTAACTTTCCATCGGATGGATGTCTTAATTTTTCCGTTTTGCTTATTTGGGTACGAAAGTCTCAAAAGGTCTAATGACCATCATTATAGTATTGAATTCATTTTAAAGCTAATGAAGGAAACATCATATGATGTTTGGAGTAATTTTTGGGGGAGGCTAATAATAATTATTAAATAATGGAATTAAATTATTCCAACCAATGTTAGCGTCTAGATTGTTTAATTGTAAGACTGCTACGACCTAAAGCGGTCTAAAGCTACCATTCAGTGACTGCATCTATAGACTTTCTAAGCATTTCACTACATCGCTTAAAATAACGCAAGAAAACTGTCACTCACGACACCTTCACATAACCTCCACATCAAGGTACGTGTTTTTCACAACTAAGTGCTAGCATAAAAATGCCGGTTACTCTGTTGCTTATGCATATACGATTCAAGATATAATATAATCGATATTTCATCTTTAAAAAAAATTGTAAGCATGATTGTGGTACGCGGAAGCGGTGGCCACTTTAAACTAGAAGAGACGATCGCAATGCAATCGATATTATTTTTTACTGGCAACCAAAAACATTATATTTATAGACTGGATCGTAATCGACGCAGTTTATGGTTTATGCAACAGGAACATACTCGCTTTGATACTCAAATTAGTAATGAGTCCACTTGTTAACTACTAGTTCACTATGAATTTTCCCTCGGACGTTATGTTTATTTTTCACTAATTGCTATCAACCATGAAGCAAAAGCACCAACGTGAATATTTAGTTTACATCTAAGAACGAATGAGTATAATAATATCGAAAGTATCTAAACACTTTTAAAGATTCACTTTACAGGCAAAGACTTTAAAATTCAGTGGCTGCGTATGAGAATCCACTACCCTGTATCATCCCGTGGATGTCGTACGAGGTGACTGAAGGAAACTGAAAAAGGAATTTGGCAGTGCAGCATCTTTCTGATAATTATTAAAATATTAAATAACTACGATTTCCCCTATAACCGAGGCTTATGTTCAGCAGTGTACTCCTTAAAGACAAAAACCTACAAAACTTTAATGCACATAGTACATATAATTAAAGCAAAATAAAACTATTATAAAATTAAGAAAAATAAGACTAATATGAATGTATTACCTCACGCTCCTTGTTCCCGTAGGTGATACCCAGGTTGGGCATGGCGCGCAAAATGGCGACCAACGACTGAATGGTATTGCTGTAAACCACGGGCCGGTATTGTTTGAAGTCTTCATTCGTAAACCCACTTTCGTGAATAATTCTGTTGGCAAAAACATATGGGTTAAACAATGTACTGAAAAAAGTTTTTTTTTTTTTTTTTGTAAAATTGAAGTGACGAATATGCTTACAGCAGTCCGCCTGAAAGCAAGTGACAGCAACAGTTTATAGACACCAGCGGCCAACATCACACGAAGAAGACTACAATGCTTTGTCGCCTCTGAAGACTAAGATGGAATGCCTCCTCATTCGTTTACTGGATCGATTCCTATCATTTTTAATATAGGTAATTTTTTTATCCCAAAAATAATTAAAACTACGTATATTACAGTAACACTAAATCGGTACAGTCAAAAAAAATTAAAATGGACTGTAACTTAATGTAATAAGAATTTTAAGAGTGCAGTTTTAATTGTATTATTACTAATTCTGTCATTCAATAAAAATAAAGAAAAATGAACTTTATTTCATGCACATTAGTCTTTGCGTTCGTGGATTTGTAGTGTGACCACAACATTCTTCCGGAATAAGTAAGTATAATTAATTTGATAAATAATCGGTGCATAAAAATGTTTACCTAAAAATTCAGTGTACGTATTATGATTATAACATAATATACTAATTGGGGCGTCTCAGGGCGTGCGTTAATTACGTTACATATTGTATATATATATATATATATATATATATATATATATATATATATATTTTATATATATATATATATATTCTTTTCTTTTAAAGAATATTACTATATAGGAGAAGGCTGGCGTCACTCGCCCCTTTTTGGCATCGGTCATCACGGAGTGCAGAAGCCCTGCTCGAATACCTAGCGTAATTATTTAAATCGTAAATTTTGTTACCTTGTTTTAAACTTTTAAGTTAGTTATTATTTGTTTGGCCGAAGGCCATTAAAATCTTTTTAAAAAGTCAATCTGTGTTTCTATTTGTAACAATATAGATTCTATACCCTTCCGAGGAGTTTTCTCGGGAACTTGGCCGTCGATGGATTGTTGCTCCTGTTTTATCACTTAAATAATAGTTTGAAGTGGATTTTGATTCGTAAAAGTGATGCGATTTTGTGAATTAAGTGTCTGCGCGTGTAATCTATTAGAGAAAACTACAAAACAAGTGCTTCGATGTTGATATAAACCTCAAGTTATTTGATCGCTCAGGCGCCTTATGAACCTGAATTACTGTCGTCTTCAACTATCCGCAGGGTTAAGCTGTCGTCAAAATCTCCCAAAAACTTCGCAATGTGACGCACCAGCATAGTGGGAAGAAAAAAATCTATAAAAACGAAGATTCCGAAACAAATGATAGGCTCAGATGGGATAGAACCCAGAGTAGTAAAGCCAGTTAAATAAAAAAAAATACCCTTCCAACCAAAGCACAGAGCAGTGCAAACGCTGCTACTTGAGGGCACAAGTTAATAGGGTACCGGCCCGGATGAACTTCTAGGAGAAAGAGGAGTCCCACCGCCATAATTCTATTGCTTACAGATATATTATATATATGTTTTTACGTCGTAGAGCCACGCTGCAGCAATATTATAGTTGTGGCACGAATAGGTCGGATTGACCGTGGTAGGACCATGCTCTAATAGAATACCAGAGTAAAATAGCAACTTAACGCTGTTGTGTTTCGTATAGTGAGTGTAGAGAACCAGAATCCCTTGACTTGATGAAAAATCAATCCATTCCCTCTTAGTCCTAAGGGGTGACGCGAAACGCATTTTGAATCTTAATTGAGGATAAATGTGGATGTCTATGGGCCACAGCATTCACTTACTATCAGGTGGACTGTGTGCTCCTTTGTCACACACTGCTATAATATATATATATATATATATATATATATATATATATATATATATATATATATATATATATATATATATATTTTTATTTAAGGTTTTGTAACACTTTAAACGACAACATGTCACTAGTTCATATTTTTGGTGTAGGTACTTGAATACGAAAAGTGAGTGAAGTTTGACGGCTCCTTGGCGCAGTGGCTTAGCAATGAGTTACAGCGCTGGGGCCGCGGGTACGAATCCCGCACGGAACAAGTATTTGTATGGCCTACAAGTAATTGTTTCGGGTCTAGATGTTTGTCCTTGAGATATTTATGTTTGTAAACTGCCTCCACGATACAGTAGAAAATCCTAGCGCGTTCTAATGTTTTATAAAAGAAAAAATCAAAGAAAAAATTTTTTTTTCCAGTTTTAATATATTACTTTTTTGCATTACCAGTCCGTAACAGTGCATGATGGATTTGTAGATTTGGAACTTTCGCGCCTTAGGATGGAATAGGCGATCGCAGAACCAGACAGGTCACACCTTTGACGGTGCTTCCCGTCGCCAGTATAGTAGGCGGTAACCAGATTGTCAACATCGTCTCTTAACCCGGGGACTGTCAGGTTGGGTCATCCGTGATGTTTTTAATAATCAACATCACCCGTGACGTTTTTAAACGCGGGCATTTTTAAGAATTACAGTGCGATGTTACTGTGCTTCTCAGCAGCTAGAGCTAACAACCTACTCCTTTTGTTTCTTGTCTATTCAGTAGAATTGCACTTATATTGGGAATTAGATGTCGTCAAAGACAAAAAAGGTAAATATGACCCATTTGTACAGTCGGTGTAACTATTTCGTGCCAATTTTTATTGTTTAGTATTTAGTTATTAAGTTTATTTATTATGTATGATTTTACTAATGTCTTCATTGAAACACGATGGATAGAATGCCAAGTCTTCGGGAGAAATGAAAAAAAAAAACCAAAAAATAAATATATTACATTAAGTAACAAAGGGTGGGTTAGACACTGTGGACGAACTTTGTTCTACGTACAATGTAAGTCGGAACTCAAAAAATGGCCCCTGATCATTTTTATGGAGTTTTAAATATGACCGCTATCGACGCATATATAGTATACAAAAATAACTATTTACAAGATATAGAGCGACGCAAATTTTTGAAAAATTTAGAACTTGCACTTCTGGATTATCTCTTGAGAACTCGCAAAGACGTATTACGTTTGCCCAGAGAGATGAGCAAAAGAATCAGGGACTTTGCAGAACCGTCAGAAGAGCCACCTGCTAAAATTCCAGGTGTAAGGAAACGGTGTCAAATATGTGCTGCCAAAAAAGATAGAAAAACTACTCACACCTACCGCATCTGCAACAAGTTTATTTGCCACTGCAGCGTATGTGCTGATTTACACGCTGACAGTGATTAATTTTAAGACTTAAATGTAACTTTTAGTTTAGATTTTCAAAGATCAAACTTAGACTTTACAAAAAGTAACAAATAAATATCAAGAAGTTAGTTTTCTGTTTGTTTACTCATAAGATTAAAAATTTTAAGTTTTTTGTTAAAGATTTTTATAGCCATGGAAAATACATAAAAATATATAAGTATAACACAATTTTTTAATGTTTTCATGTAATTTTTATAGTTAAAAAATGATTCATCTCATCTATTTGAGAAATTCATTGAATTTCCTATAAAATGTAGAAATTACATACATTTCAAAATTCGGGTCATTTTGACCCACCATACAGCAGTTGTACTTCTTTTTTACCGTACCTACTCACGCCGGGTTAAAACATTCATAAATCGAAATGGAGAAATTGATAATGATACCTACTCTTTTTTCAGTGATTTATTAAGAAAAACAATTATAAAATTATTTTATAATTATATTATGTATTTTATAATTATTGTAATTAATTAAATTTATAGAAGCAAAGGGTAATTGAATGACGGTTATATAGAAGCTATTAGTTCCACCTGCTAAAGTTAAAATTTGAGCAGGAAACAATATTTTATAATTAAATGGAAGAAACTATCAACGAATGAAATATAGACATTCCAGCAGGATCTCTTCGCTTTAATTAGTAAAACCATAAACAGTGTTAGTTATCGAGTCAGAACTTAGTAATATTAATTATATTTTATAAGTGAGCGGTAAATCTTTTTTAGCGAATTTTTATTGCAAATATAATCGATATGGATCCTACCACAAAAAGAAACACGGACGAAAGCCGTCTCCATAACTCGCTAAGAGGCTATGAGCTTCCTTATAAAAGGGCAGTGAAGAATGTTAAAAAAAAACTTGTTATTTATATATTCGTCATTAGCAACAAGCGCTAGTATGGTTCACTTTTCTTTTACAATAATTTTGAGAAATAGTGGATAAGGACATAGGTCGTAATTTTGCGAACGCAACCCAGCCGAGTTGGATTCCTCTATTCACGTTCTTGGTCGTAATTTAGATTTACAATTTTTGTCCCAGGTAAATATAATTGTCAACTGTATCAGTGCCAGGATATTCCAGGAAGTCGGCCATAATGCTCATATTACATCCATATATAGTCGCCTAATCGAAGATACTGCATTAATATAAATATAATCCTCCAGACCAAATTTCGGTCACGGCGGCCAGTCTTAACGGAGTCTAGCTATCTGCGCAGGACAGGATTATATTGCACGAATGTATGAGCTATCACAGGCAAAGGTGAACTCTGTTCCCTCTCATAGTCCGATTGAACGCCAAACCGACACGACCGAAGAGATCAGCCGCAAGACTACCAACTTGTACGTGCTTTCCGAGGCACGAGGGTGAAACAACCTCCCCAAATGGACTGACTCGGGGATGTTACTGAAAATTTCTTGATAGCAAAACTCAATAAGTAGCTTTTTTGACACGAGGGATACTAATTCAGTACTTTATGATCAGCAGTCGCGTTTATGACCACTAGACCAACGAGACAGTCATGGCCTTAGTATACACACATAATGATTTTTAAGCACTTTGTCATAGTGATATTCTATCTGACAACGCAAAACTTGTTTGGATCTGTGATGTTAGCAATCCTAACGGTGTTTGTGGGTGTTTAAAAGAGACTCCATAACCATTCAAATTACCACATTCAAAAGTTTTCTCATAGTCCACATTCAAGCTCTCACTCGTAATCTCGTCTGGCATCAAAAATACAATGGATTTTAATAACCAAAAAAATTCAATTGGTACATGTAT